ATCGTAGCAGAGGCAGGCGAGGAGTAGCGAGCGACGACTGCATCGTACAGTGCCTTAGCAGTCTTGTGCTGGCCGAAGTGTGCGCGCTCATCTAACGGCAGGTGGCTGCGAATGGCTAGGCGAGCGTGGGCGTCACGAGTCTGCCACTGGGAGCGAGCTGTACTGTCAGCAGTGTCAGCAGGTGCTAGAGCGGTTCCGGACGCGTGGTCATACAGCGAGATATCGTCCTTAGCGGTGATCTGGAGGAACAGGTGCAGATCGTCGAGCCAAGCTTCAAACTGGAGCGGACGGCCCTCAGCATCGAAAGAGAGAACTGTGGGAGATGCCATAGTGGCAGTAGCAGCAGTAGCAGTAGCAATAGTAGCAGTAAGAGCAGTAGCAGTAGCAGCTGTAGTGAGAAGAACAGCTGTAACAGCAGGAACAGGAACAGCAGGTGCTGCAGGTGGGGCGGCGCAGCCCGGTCAGGGCGGCGCGGCTCGGGCAGGTAGGGCGGCGCGACGGCGGGCCTATGCACGGTGCGCGGCGGTGCCTAGGGTGCAGCTGCGCGCAGGCTGCGGCTGGGTTCATGCTGCAGCTAAGCGCGAGCTGCAGCTAAGCGCGAGCTGCAGCAGCCGACGCGCGATCGCCACTGCGCGCGGGCTGCGACCTGCGGGCGGGCGGTGGTGGGTCTAGCGCTGTCCTAGGGGCGAGCGGTCGTGCGTGGGCTGCAGTCGCGCGGGCGGCGGCCTACGAAAGCAGGGGCGGCGGCCTACGGTCGTCGCGCGCGCGATTCTGGCCGCGCGCGGGCTGCTAGCGGGCTGATCGCGCTAGAAAAAAGAGGCCGCACGCGGGTGGCTAGTGAGCTGCGCACGGGCAGCGTGAGAGAGAGAGAGAGAGAGGCGCACGAGGGCGCACTAGGAGAGAGGCGCACGAGGGCGCGACGGCGAGAGGGCGCTCGAGGGCGCTACTAGCGGAAGGGTGGGCCCTTAGGACTAAGCGGTCCTAGGTTCCTAACCTAGGCTCGTAATACCATGTCAGAATGAGAGAGAAGTGATTGCACTAGGAAGATGGAGAGTACAAGTATGAAACCCTAAAGTATTGTACCCCCTAAAGGCTAACCCACTGTAGCCTACACATTAGCAACACATATAATGTTTGACAGTGCTTTCTTCATTTCCCAACACGCCAAGATACGATGTCTTGTAGCGCCGCAAAATTCGCACGTCTCATTTTGGCTGGTTGCGTCGGGGGTGCCGCAATTTTTTTGCCCTTCAGCTCCGCACGTGCTTTCTTCATGCCACTATTTGGCTGGTTGCGTCGTGTTCCGTAATAACTACTATTCAACGCGTCGTACTCTTCGATCAGTGCTGCCCGAAACTGCGCACACGTCCCTTCGCCTTGGACTATTTTTTTGTTAATCCACTCTAGAGCTGGGCCTCGTAGCAGTGTTGGTGCGAGCCGTATGCGCATCGCGTCTTGGGTGGGGGTCGTGCATCCAACGGCTTCGAAGTAAATTTCGAGTTCAACTACGAATCGGCGAACGTCGCTCCCTTTCACTATAGGATCCAACGCCTCTGGTTGCATCGGCTTTACTGCTTCGAGGTTAGCTGTAGCTGCTGCCGTTGACGCAGGTACAATTGTCGGTGTCGCCGCCGTCGCTATTACTGCTGCTGCGGCTACTTATTGGTTCGCAAGGAGTTTTTCGAGTCGTAGGAGTGTCGCACGTGTCTGCTCCTGCTCGGCGCGTAACTCCGCGATTTTTTCTATGAAATTAATACAATTTCCCTCTATTTGGCAATTTTCAGGAAGATTTGCGACGAAAATATATGAATTCTGGGCGCTGATCAACTTACTGCGAAGCGAATCGACTGTTGAATCGTTGAGCGTGGATTTTGTACGTCACGTAATTATCCCTTAGTCAATTTCACGTGCGATCTCGGCCGTTGGGAAGAAGTTCGATCCGACGCTCCAAATTCCAACTTTTGTGGCCGAATTTCCCTAGGCCGTTGAGATCTGACGGTCAAAATTCCAACCTTTTCGCCAATAAATCTGAGGGGTGTTCGAAAACCGGATCGAGGGGGACTTGAAAAAATTGCGCGAAACTGGTTTTACATACCCGAATTGACGCTTTCCTTGTCGCCCCCACGGTTTTTTAAAGGTCGCTTTTTAGCGGTTGAAGACTTCGCGTGTAAAACCCGCTCTGATTACCAAGTTTGACGAAAGAAGGATCTGGTTTAGAAAGTATAATATGACCACCTCGGTACAACACGAGGCTATATATAGGCTCGACACAAAGGCAGCAACCCGGGTGTTACTAGAAGGTTCCGCGGGTCGCGAAGCGTCCCGAATGGGTCCTTCCCGAATTCGGTAAAAGGCAATTTAATGGCAACCGAAAAGCCTAGAATTCGGTGCACGCAATCTAGAACGGTGCTATAACTATAATACAATATAGTAAGCAACAACTTTAAGGAAAACGAGCAAAAACATGCATAAGAAAATAAAACCAAGCAATGTAAAGCATCATAGGGTAAATAAAGGTAAGGCTAGCCGTCGTACTTTCATACAAAACCTCCAGTGTCAGCACGGCGTCCGACCACCCACTCACGTAGCTGCTGCGGCGATAGAGTCTCCTGCGGACGCGATGGCAGCTGCCGCCCACTGCCAGGTGCAGCACTCCCAGGCTCAGCACCCCCAGACTAAGCACCCTGAGAACCAGCACCTCCAGCGTTAGCACCCTCAGAGCCCACACCTCCAGCGCCACCACCTCCAGCAGCACCAAAGTCCACAGCGACAAGCAGTAGAGGTGGTGAAGATGGCCGAGGCGGAAAGCCAGGAGGGGTCTCCAAGCGTGGAGAGCGGCAAGAGGTCGCAGTGTCATCAGCAGCATGGTCGGCCCCCCTCATCCGGGCCAGAGGAGACCTCCAAAGGCTCAACCAAGGGGGGGTGGGGGTCTACTGGAGGGGTAACCTGGAACTAGGAAGAGGGGCAGCGGGGGGACAGGAGAAGACACGTGGGGGAGGAGACGGTAGTAGCAAACTGACTCGTCAAAGGTGACGTCATGGGAGGACAGGACATGACGCATGGCTGGGTGGTAAAACTGGCAGCCAGACGCGTCGGTGGGAACGCCAAGGACGGTGCGAGAAGAGAGCTTGTCCGCGATACTATCGCGGACAAGGGCCATCAAACCTCAGACCCAAAACGCTGACGCATTGCCAACCTCCCCCATCCAACGCAGTGTAGGTGAGGTCTCTGGCTCGGAGACACGAGGCCAGAGGTTGAGCTGATGCGCGGCGTATCGGACCTCAAACGGCCACAAAAAATGGGGAGAAGCCGCATGGATCATGGAGGTGCAAGCCACCTCCATGTCCAAGCCAATGCGGTGCTCAGCGATCCCATCTGCTGCGGAGAAGCCGTAAGCGTGAACGACTAGGTGATGCCCTCCTCATGACAAGAGTCCTCAAGGAGACTGGAGGAAAACTCACCTCCACTGTCAGAGTGCAGAAGGAGTATTGGGAGGTCCTAACGGAACCGTGCGCTCAGCTGGTGACGAACAGCGCGGATCCAAGGGATCAAAATAAGACGGACATCGCCCTTGCGCTGCAAGGAAAACACCGTGGTGTAGTGCGTGTAGTCGTCAACGACCAGCAGGAAGTAGCGCTTTCGGCCCGGCCCAAGGATGGGGGTTGGGCCCCACACGTCCATGTGCAGGGTCTGCAGAGGAGTAGTGGTCGGAGGGAACGAGGAGGAGTGAGGAGCGGCGCGCTGCCGCCCCTTGACACAGGGGGTGCACGGCGGCGCAAGCGACGATGGCAGCGGAGGCAGGGACCTTGAAAAGCCAGAGACAAGAAGACAGGAGTGCATGCGATGCAAACGCTGTAGGGAGGGGTGACCAAGCTGATGGTGCCAGAGGAGGGACGGGTGCGTGAGTAACCTACACGAGCAAGACGCAGCTACCTGATCGGACGCAACCAACTTTGCAAACTCAACGTGCAGTGTGTACAGGCTCGACCCAGGTCTTCGAGTAAACGTGGCGAGGTGGTCGCCAGTCACTTAGTCCGTACAGATCGCCACAAGCTCGCCCCCATGAGTAATGGTATTGACCAACTGTTCTTGGAGGAGAGCGTTACTCACCAGGAATGCGTCGCTGGGAAACCCACTCCCGAAGCTGTTGCGGCGAGAGGGTCTCCGGCTGACGTTGCGGCAGCTGCTGTCCACCCCTAGAACCTCTGCCTCCACTAGCGTCACCACCTGTACGAGTAGGCGCACATGTACCTACGCTCGCCTCCTCGACCAGCTGCTACACCTCCTCTAATAACGGACGTCGCTGTCGCAGTGGCCGGGTGGCAAGAGAGAGGGAGGAGTATGTTCAACCACGGCGGCGTAAAAGGTCTGGGATGACATCACCTGACGAAAGTGGGCTCTCTGGTCAACCAGCAGGTGAGCTCGGATGGCAAGCTGTGCGACAGCGTCGCGCTACGTCCACTGTGTGCAGGGAACGCGGTGCGCCCGGTACCGCCACTGCACGTCCTTGCCAGTGTCAGCAGCAGGCTCAGTGGGAGTCATGGAGGCTTGAAGGGACCCTGACGTGTGTTTTAACAGGGAAGCGCCATCTCTAATGAAACGTCGGAGGTACATGCGCATGTACGCAAGCCACAACCCTAACTTGAAAGGGCATCCATCTGCGTAAACCGTTAAGACGGTGATAGTGGCCACGATAGGCAGCGGCATACAGCAGTAGCGGCGCAAGGGCGGCAGTAGCGACTGCGGCGGAGGCAGTTGTAACGACAGTTGCAATGGTAGCAGTGGCAGGGGTTGCGGCTGCAGTGGCAGCGGCGGCGGCAGCTGTAGCAGTAGCGGTAGCTGCTGTAGTGGCAGGTGCGGTGGCTGCAGCAGGAGTAGCGGTTGTTGCAGTGACTGCAGCGGCAGAGGCAGCAGTTGTAGCGGCAGTCGCGGCGGCTGCGGCGAGCGGGCAGAACAGGGCGTGCGGGGCAGGGCAGGGCACGCGAGTAGGGCGGGGCGCGCTAGCAGGGCGGGGCAGGGCCCGTGAGGCAGGCAGGGCGCACGGGCAGGGCAGGGCGCGCGGGTAGAGCAGGGCGCGCAGCTGAGCAGGGCGCATGGGGCAGCGCGTGAAGCACGCGTCGCAGAGCAGGCCGCGCGGCGTCGCGCAGCAGAGCAAGGGCGCGGGGCAGCACGGGCAGCGCGCATGGCAGGGCAGGGCGCGCGGCATCGAGCAGCAGAGCAGGGCGCACGGGGCAGTTCGGGCAGCGCGCGGGGCAGAGCAGGGCGCGCGGCGTCTCGCGGCACATCAGGGCGTGCTGGACAGCGCGGGGTCGCGCGACAGGGCAGTGGCGTGCTGGGCAGCGAGGTGCGCAACACGCAGGGCAGCGGGGCGCGCGACGCACGGGGCAGCAGGGGGGGCGTGACACGCGGGGCAGCAGGGGCGCGTGACGCACGTGGCAGCGGGGGGCGCGTGACGCACGGGGCAGCGGGAGGCGCGTGACGCGCGGGGCAGCGGGGGCGTGTGACGCACGTGGCAGCGGGGGTGCGCGACGCGCAGGGCAGCAGGGGCGCGTGACTCACTGGGCAGTGGGGGCAGGGCTGCCGGCAGGCAGCAGGGGCGCGCGAGGCAGGGGCGCGCGGGCAGCAGGTGTGCGCGGGTAGCAGTGGCACGCGGGCAGCAGGCGCACGCGGGCAGCAGGCGCACGCGGGCAGCAGGAGCATGCGGGCAGCAGGGGCGCATGGGGCAGGGCTGTGCGCAGGCAGTAGGGGCGCGCGGGCAGTAGGTGCGCGCCGGCAGCAGGGCGCTCGGGCAGTAGGGACGCGCGGGCAGGTACGCGCGCAGGGGCGCACTGAGTGGGTCGTGCGGGACAGTTATGGACCTAGGATCTAGGTTCGATCCTAACCTAGCGTCTGATACCATGTCAAAGATGTGAACAGCGGAATGATGTGCATTAAGCAGAATGAGAGTACAAGAACTAACCCTAACTGGGTTGTACCCTCTAAAGGCTAACCCTCTACAGCCTATAACCATAAGATATATTTGACATATGAGCCCAAGTCTTGTGTCATGGTGAGCTCTGGAATGATTTTTATCCTAAAAGCGAGGGCTCTGAAACTTCATTGTATATCTTCCTTGAATTCTTGGAATCTTGCTGCACACACCTCCAACACGCCGAACCTTCGATACAAGACAAAACAGAAAACGCACACGACACGCAAACGGCATGTTGAAACGCGACTGACGAAAATTCGCTATTGACTCAACACACACATTTGACATCATGACCCATCATTCACACTCTCTCATACCATTCCATTTAAACACACATGCATGCACAAAGACAACAAGCCAAGTGCAAACCATGGGGTTGCACCAACACCTTGGAGGCTGACAATGTATAGGACGTGATTGTCGTCGCCCAGTTGGTCGACGTGAGTGTGTCCCAGCACTTATGTTGCAAGAGCCACACTATTCGCACTCGAAAGGGTTAGCTGCAAGTGGTGTGGCGAGTTGTCGTGGGTAATGCAGAGAGAATGTGTTGCGCCGATTCGATTATGCGGCCTTTGAGGTTGCACAAAGTGGAGTGCACTTGTCAAAGGACCTGGTTTGGGGGATACCGTATGAGTTAACGACTATGTAACAGCCCTTTTATTCCAATGGTTAACGACTTAGATTCCGACAGAGAATGCCCATGCTTGCGAATAAATGGATTCGGCCAATTTTGATTAGAAGAATATTTGTAACACCTATTCATAGTAGACCTCAATTGGGGCCTCGACTGGGCAGCAATAATAGTTCAAATATAGGTTAATTACGGTACACAAATGTTGAACGCATATTTCAACAAATTACAGTATGCTCAGTACACCCATTCATCTTGGCACACAGATGTAATTGGATCCAACATTTTTGGCATAGTACTGTCCGTTATATGCATAGAAGTCCTTCGTTGCAATGGTCATATTGCGGTGATAGTATCTGTAAGAACTGGAACACGTGAGCGATGGCGACACCGTCTTTTCCCGGCCCTTGTCGCACCTTCCAAGCTCAAACGACCAGTACTCCGCCCTGAGGCACACCTGGGGTAGCAAGATGCATGAAGAGGGAAGGGCGACAAGGTTCTTGGGAGGAAAAATGGCCGGCAATGCAGATATTGACAACTGCAGTTATGTCCTCCCAACTTCCCTCCCCTCCACCTCTTCCCCCCACATCCCCTTCTCCGCCTCCGTTTCCCTCCTATTTCCACCGCTCACCTGAACGCCACCGTTGCTGCCAACAGCAGAGGCAGAGCCAGGGATGGTGTTGGAGCAGACGAGGCCGGGGTTGTTGCGGTAGAGCTCAGCCCTGAAGTGGGGCTCAATCTTCAAGTTTTTTTACCCCTTGAGCAGACTCTCGCAGGTGTCCTGCGCTGTGAGTGTGGCGTACTTGACACACTTGGGGGCCGTGTAGGCGTATGTGGCGTTGTGCTCCACACAGAGGGAGCGGCCGGGCTTTATGGTCTGGGTGCACGAGATGCCCGGGTTGAGCGCCATGAGGTCGCTCTTTGTGCGACCAATGGAGGAGGCAATGGACTGACACGTGTCGCCCTGGTGGGGAGAGAGAGGCAGAGAGGGGATGTGAGGGGTTGAGAGAGGATGGGAGAGGATGGAGAGGATGGAGAGGATGGGAGCGCATGGGAGAGGATGGGGGAGGATGGGAATAGAAATCATCATGAGTAGGTTTGATTCTGATGTGGCAGAAACACCAACTAGGTCATGCTGCTGGTGCATTGCGCTGCAGGCAAAGCTTCATGACTTTGGGCAGTTGTTGAAAGTTGGAAAAAGGGGCAGAGAAACAGTATGGGAGGAGTACAGACATTAGGCACAACACTATATAAACCTTGGTATCTTGGAGCTCACATTGAGGGTGTAGAAGAACGCAGTGCAGGGGATGGAGGGAGTGCCTGCGATTTGAAGCACCGTTCCTCTAGGCAAAGGCTGGTTGCAGTTTATATCCTGCATTGAGGTGGATAAGCATGGGAGAACAATCATGAAAAGCTTTGATTCACAAATTGCCAAGGCGGCTCCCATGCTCAGGAGAAGACAATATGCCAAGCCGATATGCAAACCCATTGCTTCTGCAATGCCGCTATTGCAACATGGCATCCATAACCATTCCAACCCCTACTTTACACCCATTACCCGTCAATCGCCTTACAAGATACCTTGAGAAGGTTTAGGCACCCGTACTCAGTTTGGGTGCATAACAAAGGCTCGCCGTTAGTTGGGGTAGGAAGTCAAATCTTGGTCCAATCCAATAAACTGCCCCCCAAGGTTGGATTGGAGATGAATGGACCCCCAATAATGTTGGCTCACCTTTGACCGAGATTATAATAATATTCTCCAGCCCAACTTACTGGTGGCGGCCAATAAAGCTGGCAAGATCCCAACCAGGCCCCCACTTTTCTCATCCAACTGTGTTCACTGGCTCGCCTATCTCTGATACAATCCGTCGGTTCTTACATTACCTCCATGCACCGCCTGACTGCATCCATCCCAGCTCTATCCACCCCTCCCGCTCCTCCCAAACCTTAGCGCCTCTGCCCGGCCCCCCACCCTCTCCTTACTACGACCCATGCCTGCTTCCCCCCTCTGCTTACTGTGTTGCTGCTCTTGATCTGCGCAAGTGTGACGCCTAGCACAGGATGCACATTGCTGCATGACCAATTGTCTCCGTCGACTGTCATGGTGGTGGCGCTGGCATTAACTGCACGTCAAGCAGCGTCACACACGGGGGAAGAGAGGCAAGAAGCGTCACGGAAATCTTATGCCCTGCCGAAGCAGCAGACAACATGGTTCAGAAGTGGCTGGATAAGCAATGGGGAACGTGAAGGGGCAAACAATGGTGGAAAACATCAAGAGGCCAGATGCCTTGTGCACGCACAGAGGAAGCGGAAGCATCTGGGTCGCAAGCGGCATGTGAACAATAATTTTTTGAGACGTCTCAAAGATGCCTTGTGCACAGAAAGAGGAAGAGAAAGCATCTGGGTGGCAAGCAGGGAGGGAGCAGCAGTTGATCGCACCTGAGTGGCAGGCGAGGGAGGGAGCAGCATTTTGTCTGAACCTGGGTCGCAGGTGGGGAAGTCGTCGATGGTTCGGCTGGGGACGTGGTTGGGAGGGCAGATGCAGGAGTAGGAGCCCTTGCCATCGTTGATGCATGTGCCTACGGCACAGGGGTTCTTGAAGTACGACCCACACACGTCCACTGCCATTAAGGGTAAGAGGGGGGTGGTAGCGGGGGATGAGAGCGGGGCTGAAGGCTAAGAGATGCTTCAAGTACGACCTGCACAAGTCCACTCCCATTAAGGGTGAAAAGGGGGTGGTGCGACCTGCACACGTCCACTTCCAGGCGTATCTTTGCCAAGCATGTAGAAAATGCATGATTCTCACCATAGGCACACGTCTGGGCGCCGTAGTTGCTAAGGACTTGGACAAAGGGCTGCTTGGCTGAGAGGCGAGGGAGCAGGTGCACATGCTGGTGTCGGTCTCTGCAATGGCCGTGCAGGTGAAGCGTCCGCACGGGTTCATGCTGGGCTGCAGGTCACCATCTCCCTTGTAGCTCTTGCTGCCACATGGGACCACAGCTCTCAAACAATGCAGGATGAATGGCTTCGCATTGATGGACACTCTCAGTATTGTACTGAGTGAACATGGCCAACCAGAACGAAGCTGCAGTCAACACACAACTTTCAACCCAACACACACCCTGTGTACCAAAGATACAACTTCCAACCCTAAACACAACAAAATCCCAAAGCACTCAACAAATATGCCCAACACTGGATAGGTCCCCCCAGCACATCGGTCAACCATACCCCGTCATCCGAAGCGAACGTGTCGGCAGAAGCTTCGATGTGAACCACCTCTGGCTGCCGCTGCACTGCCAGCATGAGCCCCACATACCCCTTGAATGATGCGCGCTCGAATCCCTGGATGGGATACTTCTTCCCCTGCAATTCATAGAAGCGTGTGGCATTCGGATTATGCATGCCACAAATCAAGGAAATGCACTCGAATATCTAAATAGGGTGCTTCTTCCTGCGAACCAGATGTGTGGCCAGAAGCAGATGACAGAGCATGAGTACACATTGCATAACAACGCTACCTGTTATCCACAGTTTGTTGTGCGTACCGGATTGCCGTCCAAGGTGAGTCCCCCTTTTGGCAGAGTAAGAAGTTTCTCAAAGGCGTCTGTGGGGGAGGCCCCAGTGGTGCACTTGTCCCCTTTGCTGAGCCCCATGGCTGCAAAGAGCGACTCCACTGACAGCTGCGGCGCCTCTTGATTCGTTGCGATGCCGTATGCTGCTTCTATGCTCGCCACCACCGCATACGCCCAACACGCCTCTAAAGGAGAGAGCGCAAAAGAAAAAATGCAGATTGGGGGGGGTCCTTAGTTGACAAGGAATCTCTGAAAGAAATGTGACCAGCATGCATTGAAAGAGTGCATCGGAAGCAATGCGAATGAAGCGGTTGAAGCAATGCGGCTGCTATGAGAGGCGTGACCCTGCTATAACTTCAACCTCAAAAACTTCAATTAGGGATCAATTCCCTCCCCTCCGTTACGGTTGACAGGATAACCGGTTGCAACAGTGCTTCGTTTTCGCTTGATACGTGGCCACAAATCGGGGCAAGGCAGGAGCAGAGCAACATAGATGAGAATGGCCTTATCCCTCTCACCTTTTGACCAGCCTCCCCTCTTCTTTCAACTAAGGCCCCCATAACACTCACTGCAGTCGGCCTGGTTCTTGACGGGCCAGCCGAGGAAGGGCACAGAGTCCCAGGAGTGGAGGTCCCTGAAGACCCACGAGTCCTGCTTCCCGGCTGCCACTCGGTAGTCCGCACTCACATAGCGCGGGAAGGGACTCGCCCGAACCGGCGCATACGTGTTCACAGTGAGACTCAGGCCCAAGGCTGAGTGGAGGAGAAGAACAAGTGGGGGGAAGAACAAGTGGGGGGAGGAGTAGCGACAGAGTGAGGGCAGCAGAGAAGAAGAGGGGGAGGGGGGGGGGGGGGGGGGGAGGGAAAGGGTGAAGGCAAGGGGTGGTGAAGTGGAAGGAGTGAGCAGATTGGAGGTGAAGAGGAGCTTCGATGTTTTGAGAAAAGACCAGGAAGACGGTTAGAGAGCGCTCGGCAGGAGGTGAAGAGGAGCAATACAGAGAGGCAGAGAAGGAGCGCTACCAGCTGACAGGCAAGAGAGGCAATTCATGCAGGCAGGGCGCTACACAGCAAATCAGTGGCTTCTAAGCGTTTAAGCAGCACCACTATGCCAAAATCTGTATGCTGTATTAAGGGGCATGCATGGATTCGGGAAGTGGGAGAGGCGCATCGAGGGGGCGATGAGGTGAGTGGCGTTCAACAGGAAGGAACTTGAGAAGGGAACAACACGGAAGAAGGGAAACTAATATCTTGCCATAACACGATTATGAGACATGTATGGAACTGAAAGCAGAGGAGGAGGAGGAGGAGGAGGAGGAGGAGGGGGAGGAGGAGGAGGAGGAGGAGGAGGAGGAGGAGGAGGAGGAGGAGGAGGAGGAGGAGGAGGAGGAGGAGGAGGAGGAGGAGGAGGAGGAGCGGGATGAGGAAGAAGGAGAATCATATCCCCTCCTCACCATTTCAACGTGATTCCATGCTTCCTCAATGACACCAGCATGCAAACTGCTTCAACCCACCCAGCCTCAACTCAACTCAACCCAGCAGACGACTTGGCCCGACTTAAGTTGAGTATACTTGACTGAAGGAAGGTCGACTGAGACGGGTGGTGGAGGCAGGTCTGCAAAGAGGAGACACGTGCAAGAGACAGAAGAGGAAAAGGAAGTACAGGTATAGGTTCTAGACATGGAAATCACAAGCTATAACACAACGCTGGCCTGGCCAGGTGTCTTTGCTTCCAGTCGTCCTACTGATCCACCACTAACGTTGGAAGGGAAATACTGGGATGGCAGTATGATCAGGGCTTGGGGGTGCAGTGGGGTGGTAGGGGGTTGGGGGAATTTATACGAAGACCTTTCCAGCACAGTGGTAACTAACGGCTGCGCTTATCAAGAACTAGGAATAAACAGCCTTGCTTGCTTGCTCGCCCGCATTAGCATGAGCGCCAGCAGCGGCAGCAGCAGCAACATCAGCATTCGCATCACCTTCATCGTCCACACCATCATCCACAAGCCCACACCATCATCCACAAGCCCACACCATCATCCACAAGCCCATCCTCGATCCGATCATCGAATGCCCCATTGTCATTGCTAGGTCACTGCTGGAAATATCCCCAACAAACAACATAAAGAAACTTCATATCCAATGCACCTTCCAGTTACTGTGGTCATCCAATCACCGTTGCCATCCAAACATCCTTGCCAATCAACCATCATCGCCATCCAATCTCAACCACCATCCGGTCAAAAATCTTACCAGTGTACACGAACGAGTTGAGAATGGCATGGCTCATGAACGGCTGCACAGTCGTGGACGCCACAAACCCAAAGTAGAATGCCTGCTGCGGCCGAGGCTCCTCATCCGCCTGATCCTCTTGCGGTGGTCCCGGCTGCAGCACATCACACAGTGACAGACGCCTCTCCAGCACATCTCTTCTGTGCCCTCTTCACTACCCGCTTCACTATCCTCTTCCCTACCCTCTTCCTTGCCCTCATCACTGTCTCCTTGGCCAGGAAGACCTGGATGGTGCCGGGATCGCCAGGCTGGTAGTCCACCCATGCCGTGTATGCCTGCTTGTTGGCCAGCGGGAATGGGGACTTCACAGCCGCAATTGATATGTCCTGCCCGTTGATGTTCAGCCCCACGTGCTGCTATTTCATGTCGAGATGCTGGATGTTCTGAAGCATGTCAAACTCGATCGCCATGCTTCGATAATCCATCCCGCCATACCCCACGCCATCGCTGCTCCCCACCGTGGTTGTTGCCGACACCACAAACGCAAACCCGTTCGAAACGGCCTTGCCTTTGGGCGAGAGGGAGAAGGTGAAGTTGACGTTAAAGCCCAGCTCGAACCCGCACCCGGGGTCCTCCCGGCCTTTGTCGTACACAAACAGGGTGATTGGCTCTTCCATGAACATCCCTCTGGCTTCCTTCTTTGTCCCCGCGGTGAGCACGGTTGCTGGGGGGAGGATTTCTGCGTCGACTGGGGAGGCAAGAACCGAGCCTGGACACATGACATGGGTGGGAAAGAACATGGACGGGGAGGAACGAAGTTGGGTTCAGGTGAAGAAGGGATGTGAAGGAGGGAGGAAGAGCACTTACGGGATTTTGTCTACCGAGGATGCGTACAACTGTGCAAGGTGCTGGTTCGCTGGGTTTCGGAAATCAAGATTCAGATTGGAGCAAACAAGTCTGTGCTGCACTAGCCATCTATGGCTCTACTGTTGTGCTGTGCTGTGCTGTGCTGTGCTTTGATGTGATGTGCTGTGCTGTCCGCTGTACGGTGTGGTGCTGCGCGATGCTACGCTGTACCTATGCGTCGTTCTCACTAAACTCTTAAACCTCTTACCTTCAACAAGGCAGTAGATCTCTCCGAAATTGACAAACCCAGAGTCGCACAAGCAGGTCGGCGCCAAGCTAGGCCCGTCCGGATAGCACAGCCCATGGCCGGCGCCACAAGCAGCAGCAGCAGCAGCAGCAGCATAAGAATTCAACTTGGAGATGCCGCAAAAGGCTTGGCATGCTGATTCGGGACGCTGCGGCGACCAGGTAGCCCCGTCAGGCAATGAGAAGCAGTTGGCGGTCACAGAGACATCAGTGGGCTCGTCAGTCAGTGTGCCCGAGAGGTAGTTGCTGGATAGATCAGCGGTGCCGGTATCGGGCTTCACGATGGGGCCTGTGAGGAAGTTGTGGGAGAGGTCGCTGGGGAAGGGAGGGTGGAGGGAGACGTGCAGGGGGAGTGAGACGTGGGGGGGGGGGGGAGAGTGGAGGGGTGGGGTGGAAGTCAAGAAACGAGGACAGGTGGATATGAATGCACTTCAATGCTCATGTGCGTCCGTTTAAGTCCCACAAGGTCAGAGGGTATGGGTGTGAAGTGAATGCGATTAGGTGCTGTACACAAGCCTGCATCCAGCTGTGAGATACGTTCGGTAGGTGAGGACCCATCCAAGGGTTGAATCTGGATATTCGATTCATTCACTAAAATCTCGAGAAAGAAGTTCTCAACCAACACGGCAACTGCATTGCATGGGCCCAAGATTGCGATCTTGCGAGTGTGCAGTCTTGGGTGTGTGACCCACCCGCGAAACTAATGCAAGAGACTGAGAGCAAAGGAACGGACAATTGAATGCAAGGACGAAAACAAGTGCGAGAGAGCTAGCTAGTCCGCAAGTTGATGCAGCTTACAATGACTCCAGAAAATCATGGCTCGTGGTTGTGGCCGGTATGGTTCCATACAGCTGGTTGAAAGCGAGAGATCTGATGTCATTGATGGCAATGAAGAGTGAGCGAATGCAGACAAGAAGAGAGGAGAGAGTTGGTTGTGGGTTAGGAAACGGGGGCCCGTGATTGCTGTTTAATGGTGTTATTACTGGTGCCGCAGGGGTGTCGATTGTTGCGGGGATGGATCCTGTAAACTTGTTCATGTTAAGCAGTCTGCACACGTGATGGGCGCATAGAGCATAGACACAACAAGGCAACAACAGTATTGTAATCAGCAACAGAAGAAGGTTGATCAGCCGAGTTGAGTGAACTGGTCGTTATCTTCTTGTGCACACATGGTGCTCGCTCACTGATACGCACAATTGCTCTCTCACTGATACACATCACTGCCCACACACACTTCATTTTACACGTTCTTTTCACACTCGTGATCATGCCTGCATGCTTGTTACACCTCTGTGCCCAATCGAACGAAACACGCTAGATGGGTGGGGCCACAAAGTCAATGAAGAGCCTGTCTCCTTACAGCCCATTTTCCCAAGCATGGCCTCTCGCCTACAGTTGCTCAAGATTCGCAAATGAGAAGTGGTATGCTGGGATGCTTCCACTCAGCTCGTTCTGACTTAGGTCCCTGTCGCGTGGAGAGGAGAATACGAAAATATTAATCAATTGGCGGGTCATGACTCACGCCATGCAAGTGACCCGACAATTTTCTGCTGCAAGATTGCAGAGTGAATCTTCTTGGAAGGATCATGGAAGAGGGCAGGGAGGGAAGGAGGAGAAGGAGAAAGCTAGTGGTGCGGGCTAATGGAGGCTTGCTCAACAAGCCGTTTTCTTGTCCAATAAATCGGCTTATTCCTCGAGGTTTATATTCTGAATATTTTTTGCTTCAGGAGCACGCGAGCAGCACAAGCATCCAAAGGCGCTGCCAGAGGGAGGAGAAAGCGAGGGGACGAGAGAGTAAGAGGGTGAGGGGAAAGGAAGAGAGTGAAGAGAAGGCGGGAGGGAGGAGAGAAGTGTGGAGGAACATCTGTCATGTATACGGCAAGAATGGCTGACAGGTTTCCGAGGCTGGTCATGGCACTCAGGTCAGGGATGCCTCCTGACAGACGGTTGTGGCCTAGGTCCCTGGGGGAGAGAGGTGCAGCGGAGGAGAATGAGACACGTGGGAAGGATGAGAAGTTTGGGATATGTTCTGCATGTGCAAAGGTGTTGCTGAAGGGAAGAGTGCAGATTGGGAGGTGGCTGTGTGGTGGCAGTAGCAGCAGCAGCAGCAGCAAGAGGAGGAGGAGGAGGAGGAGGAAAAGGAGGAGGAGGAGGAGGAGGAGGAGGAGGAGGAGGAGGAGGAGGAGGAGGAGGAGGAGGAGGAGGAGGAGGAGGAGGAGCAGTAACAACGGCAAGTCCAGCAGCTGGAATAACATTGGTGTCAGCAGCCTGGCAAGGCAAGTAGTGCAGGGAGAGTGGGCAAGGCGGATACTGACAGGTAGACCATATCTGTCATTGAGCTAATCGAAGGGATGGAGTCTGTCAGATAGTTGGAATGGAAATTCCTGTGGCATGCGAAGGTGGGAGTGTAGAGGGAGAGATGGGCAGTGAGGTTGGTTGGGGTGCTGCTGGCCGGGGTTTTTGGTTGGAACTTTGGAAAAATTGCGCAGAGAAGAAGTGTTGAGGTGGCAGATAGTGGCAGAGTGAGAGGGAGGAGCGGGATGGTGACCAACTGGAAGCTGCACAACAGCCTTGGGGTGAGGGCGAAGAGGGGGGATGGGGAGGGGGGGGCGAAAAGTTTCTGTGGGGCACTCTCAAAACGCTGCTTCTATCCTTGTGTAGCAGATGTATACAAACTAGCATGAGGCAGTGGGTGGCATAGACAAGGGCGGATGGTCATACAGTTGTGTTAGTCCGCCGAGGTTGCCGAGGGTTGGTGGGATGGGTCCAGAGAGCTGGTTGTATGACAGGTCCCTGCAGGGTGGTTTGGTTGGTGGGTTTATGGGTTGGTTCATGGGTTGGTTCATGGGTTGGTTCATGGGTTTGTCCACGGGTAGATTCATGGGTTGGTTCATGGGTTGGTTCGTGGGTTGGTTTGTGGGTGGATTCATGGGTTGGTTTACGAGTGGATTCATGGGTTGGTTCATGGGTTGGTTCGTGGGTTGGTTCGTGGGTTGGTTCATGGGTTGGTTCGTGGGTTGGTTCGTGGGTTGGTTCATGGGTTGGTTCGTGGGTGGATTCATGGGTTGGTTCATGGGTTGGTTCGTGGGTTGGTTCGTGGGTTGGTTCATGGGTTGGTTCGTGGGTGGATTCATGGGTTGGTTCGTGGGTTGGTTCATGGGTTCACGCGGATTAATGCTCCAGGTTTGTAAGGATGGTGTGAAAAGGGAGAGGGTTGTAGAGCTTGTGATGATCACAGAAGATTATTAAGTGTGATGAAACACTAAGCACCAAACACCAAACGAGGCCCACCCACTGCTGCAGGAAAGTTGTGGGGAGATTGCACAGTTAGGTACGTTCATCAATGAGTGATGGGTACTCCACTCGACTCGACTCACAAGAACCGGAGTTGCTGGAGGTTCCCAATGCCATCAGGAATTGGTCCCGTGAATTGATTCTTCGACAGCTTGCTGGGACGACGAGTGGTGCATGTGGCAGTCACAGTCATGGTAGGCGAGGCAGGCAGGTGGGCAAGCATGTTATCAGGTATGGCTGGAAGCAGCACTGAAATGGTTTGGCTGGTTCAGAGGACGAGGGTACTAGTAGAGGTGGATTAGAGAATGGAACGGGAGGAGGGAAAACAACTTTCTTTAACACAAGTATGTTGCCCAGATGTGAATAAAGAAAGGGGAGGTGAGGTGCGGTGAGGTGTGGTGAGGTGACGTGTGGCGTCGTGTGGTGTGGTGTGGTGAGTAAATTTGGGATTTCAGGCTAAACTTACAGGTACTCGAGACTCGCTAAGGAGCCAATGCCTGACGGAATGGCTCCATCAAAATTGCACCAGTTGACAATCCTATGGTGGGAGAAGACGAGGTGCAGGGGCGGAAGAGAACGGGCAACAGGGAGGGAGGACGAGACAAATGGTATGTGTATGTTTGCGTGTGCGTGCATGCGTGCATGCGCGCGTGCGTGTGCGGGCACGTGCGTGCGGGTGAGCGCGCAGGGGTGCATGTGTGTGCGTGTGCATAAGAGCGCGCACGCGCGCGCGCGCGCGCGCATGTGTGTGTGTGTGTGTGTGCCATGTTGCTGCGTGAATGACAATGAACAAATTCCCTGTTAAGTAATGGAAAGGATAGGTTTCATTGTGACTGGGTCGTTGAGGAATGCAGTGGAAAGGCAGAGGACAAGCAGGGAGTCGGGATGGCAGGGAACCGAAGAAAGGGGGAGACCGTTGGAGGGTTGTGTCATAGTGATGGTGGAAAAGAGATTCAGTTGCAATGCAATATTAGGGTCCTGTACAGGTCGTACAGATCGTGCGCGGCAAGTGTTACTGTTACGTACAGCCTGTTGATATTATGCGAGTTTATGAGTGCTGGCAGTATGGGCCCCGACAAGCCTTCGATATAGCTCAGCTCTCTGTGGAATGGGAAAGAACGCATGGGAAAGATGGGAATGAACACGCGACTCACCAGATCAAAGCACAGGCTCATCCACTAGCGCAAAGACAACAAACAAGCATACGAAAAAAAGAAAGGAGAAGAAAAAGAAGAATATATATATATATATATATATAAAAACACAGATTATGATCTTGAACATGACACTAGTATTGCTGGTACAAATCCGGCAGTGTCAGCTTACACAGACATAAGAGACGTGATGCTTCCCAATTCTGAAGGAATCGTGCCTGGAATGGTTGAGCTGATTATTTGGCTGGTAGATGCGAAAAAATGAAGGGAAAGAGAGCGATGCAATTGAGGAGAAATTTGGTGGGAATGGAACAGCAAGAGAGCAGAGGAGAGCATCACAGAGAAGTGCAAATCCGCCACCGCCACTCACTTCTGTGTCCTCCAGCCAGTGAAACACGTCCACAAGGGGCTGGCCGTCTGAGATGGGTTATCAAGATTTGCATTGCAGCTAAAACATGCCACTGCCATGCAGGCCAACGCATGCTGGTTCTGTGCAAACCACCCATAAGCGCTCGCTAGATTGTGCTCTAAGCGACCTTCCTTTGCTCGTGAGGGGGGCTATGGCGGCTCCTACGGATACTATGGCGGCTCGTAAGGTTATGATGGCGCACTGAGTAGAAATTAGACTTTGCACCCGCTACTACGGCTCATGATGCTCATTCGATTTAAAGCCTCAGGCATACGCCCTTGGATGACTTGTGCACTGCTCTACTTTCATGCCAGGATCCAAAGAAGCAGCAATGGGAAGAAGTAGTGACTTCAAAGAACCAAGCAGATAGCAGGGGCGGAGCAGCGCAGGACGTACATGATTGCGAGTCTCTGGAGCGCGCTGATTGAGCTTGGGATGGATCCCAGGCCGCCCATGCTACGCCAGTACCTGCGACGCGGCCCCAACAAGTCATCAACAACACCATGGGTTGGGTTCACGATTTAGCGTTACGCGCATCAAGCTCCGACCTTTGGAGGAGTCGTCAGGTATGGATATGGTTTGCTTCGCTTAACTCCTTGCCCTCTACGTAAAGCGCGAGGGCCGTCACCAATTGTCACCAGCCTGTTTTCGTTAAACACAACTTGGTCCGCGCGAATCAAGACTGTAGGCAAAAAGAGAGCCGTCGTCAGATTATCTCACAGTCCATCAGTCATGCCGTCTAGGTCGCAGGTGATGTACGGAAGAACTTCGCAATTCCAGTCCAAAGGGTCGGACCCAATCAGGTTCCAGTCTTGCAGGAATTTCGCTGCGCATTTTGGAGATAGGGAAAGAAGGAAAACTTGAGAACAATTGATCAACCTTAATGTCACCCGCCGGACCGCCGGTGGTACTACTAATAGTTACTAGTAGTGTACCTTGCGATGACTGCAGATACGGATCACTCCACGACGCGTCTACCATGAATACGAGCAGCCACAACGCGAGCGTCACCACGCGGCGATGCAGCTTAGTAGTACTTCCAGTCAACATCGCCGCACTCGCGCCGCCGGCGACGAAGCGTTGTAGTAGGCTGAAAGCTGCACTAATCGGCTTAGAAACCACGCCAAAATTGTGCCGCACGGTGACGAACAAAGGAATCGCGGCACACGGGTCAGGGACGAGCTTCAGTGCAGGCACACACAGGTCTCACACAATATCTTAGTTTCCTTGTAACCGTGCTTAGGGCGGGGTGCATCATGCTGAAATTGCATGAAATTGCATGATCGCGATATTAGAACCGCAACCCCGTGGAATCTGGTTGGGTTGGGCGTGCTCGGGGTCCCCTGCGACCCAATGGCACCTCCCTATGATGCACCACCTGCAGTTTTGCAGTCCCGACCCCCAACCACCAATGAGACGCGGTCAAGGCGTCGCCTGTACATTTTGGTTTCAGTGTTTATTCCGTAACCGTTTCGTATTTACCTCGCTCTCTTTTCGTTTTGTTCTTCGGCGACAATATTTTTCTCGCGAGAAGGATCGGTGTGCACGTGGTGCACCTCCAACCCTTGATCGCATGGGATCGCAGGCTTTGAGATCCAGCGTGGTCGAGGGTGGTTGGGTGGCAGTTTTCGCGATCCCCCAAGGTCGTGGTGCAGCAATGCTACAGTAGTTACTGTGCGCAAAAGACAAAACACTGTAGCGAGGATCGCTTGAGATCGCGATCCTGAAAAATAGCATGATGCACCCCGCCCTTATAAAGCCTTTCTGGTACATTGTACAGTACCAGCTTCAGGCTGAAAGCACAACACAAAAGCTTTACAGTGATCCTGCCGAGTGTAAGGAAAATTCCCTTTCCTTACTTCGCGTCCCTGCTCAGCGCGGACACCACTGTTCCCGCCAACAGCACCCAACAGTAATCCGTTACCACTCGCGACACTCGCCACGACACTGTTCCCGCCACTTGTTCACGACGCGACCCAACCTCACGGTTCGGTTGGTAACCCGCGCTCCGGACCTCCGCCTCGACAATTCCCAACCTCGGCGCCAGGCCCGTCGCGCACCCCAATTCTCACGCATTACCGTTACCACTATAGTCTCGCTATATATTCTTCGCTCATTCCTTCGCTCATTGTACTTTTGCTTCAATAGTGCAATTCTCGCTCGCTCGCTCGATTGCACTCGTAACACTTGGTATCAGAGCCTACGATCTCTTCTCGGACCGCACCCACACCTTCGCTTCCCCACTATCTCAAATTTTGGGGGGGGGGGTAGACGTCTCTCAGCGATACAGCACCGCCGCTCGTAGTGCTCTCTCGTAAGCACGCACGGCCACGACTGAGGCTCTCGCTGAGCTCGCCCGACACCCCCGCCATGGCCGAATTCACTCTCGCAACGTTGACGCAGGAGCAGCTCGACCGTCTGGTGCGCCAAGTTGAAGATTCGGCTCGAAATTGCGACGCTCACGGCGGAACGTGACTCCGCGCGTCAGCAGTCTACGACGAACGCTCCAGCATCACAAAATGCACCTGCACAGTCGGACGAGCCGATCGTCATCTCGTCCGGCACACCAACACAACATGACAGCATGGGACAGCGCTCAGGAGCAGCCAGTGATAGCGCCGCCCAACCAATGCCTGGCATGGGAGGAAACAGGGTCGCGCCAAGCCCGCGGGAGCCTCGCGAAGCCCGTCGGCACGTGGAGTTTGCGGCGACAAGTGGCGAACAGGCCATTATGGCACCGATGCCACTCAAGCCGCAACGCCCGCCCTGTTTCGACCCGAGCCAGCGTGGAGGTCCGACGGTTCAATCGTGGGTCTTCACGATGAACGTCTTCTTCGACGCGAATTACGTCGAGTCGGACGCAGCGAAGATTCGGTATGCTGTTTCGCTGCTAAGGGGCCCCGCCATGGACTGGTGGCGAGTCACCGTGACGTCGCCACGCGCCTACGAGCCACCGTCGCAAGAGGAAGGGCCCACGGGTCCAGCTGTCACCTGGAGTTCATTCTGCGAGACCGCCCAATACAGCACGTGGGATGCGTGGTGCGCAGGGCTTCGGGCGCGCTTCGAGCCGATTGTGGCTTCTATTTCGGCGCGTCAGAGATTGCGCACTTGGCGGCAGCTCGGATCGGTTCAAGATTACACGAGCGGTTTTCTCGCACTTTGCGAACAGGTCGGCTACATGCACGAAGCGGAGCGGGTGGACCGTTACGTCGGAGGGCTGAAGCCGGACATCTCGCATGAAATCATGCTACGCGGGCTCTCGAATTTCAACGAGATTCTCGCGCTCACCGAGAAAATCGACATCCTACGACGACCGAGACCGGGGTTCTACTACGGACATCGTCCTCGGGGACCGATCGAGCACGCCACTGTGAACGCCGTTGCGACGAATGCAGCTGCCGCGCCGTTTAAAGGGCACTGCTTTGCTTGCAACAGGCCGGGCCATCGCAAGAGCGAATGCCCAGAGGAGCTAAGGCGCCGCGGAGCAGAGCAGGGGAGGGAGTCTCAGAGGCAGGGAAACGCCAGCAGTCAGTAGAAGTTGGGCCAACTACTGACGAGACTGCCTGCTCGCCCAACCACACCGACCCTCACCGAGTCACAGTACCGATTCACGCCATCGATCGGGCTCGGATGAATAAGGAGGGTACAGCGACGGATTGCCCAGTACTGATCCACGGGAAAATACAGGGAGCAGCAGTGAAGATTTTTATCGACGGAGGAGCAAGCCACAGCTTAGTTAATACCGCAACCGCACGGAAACTGCAACTGACTCTTAGCCGGTGCTTACCAGAGATCGACGCACGCTTAGTTGACGGCACGCCGCTGGCCATACGGGAGAAGGTGGAAAGAGTAAAAGTTCGCTGCGGGGGGAACTTCGGGTTTACACAGGAAATGCTCGCGACGACATTGGATGGGCACGATATTTTACTGGGACGTGATTGGCTGCGACAGTATAACCCGCGAATCGACTGGACGACGGGTAGCTGCACTGTGCGAAGTAGCGGTAACTGGGTCGCGCTACCTCGCTGGCAGTCGCCCGAGTCTTCAACGGTCCACGTCAACGCCATCACGATGAAACGTGCTGTCGCCGCTGGAGCTGACGTGTACGCAGTGGATATAGCATTAGTAGGAGTAGCAGAGCAGCCGAGCGATTTTCAGAAACTGTTGGCAGCAGTACCGCCCGAACTACAGGAACTGTTGAAACGGTACCCGGGGATTTTTCTGGACGACTTACCGGAGGGACTGCCACCTCAGCGGGCACATGACCATAGGATTGAGTTAGAACCGGGGGCACATCCAACTGTACAGCGCCAATTCAGACTGACACAGCCCGAGCTCGACGAACTGAGGAAGCAGTTAGATTATTTGTTAGAGAAGCAGTTTATCCGACCAAGTTCGTCACCGTTCGCCGCGCCAATACTGTTCACGCCGAAAAAGGACGGGGGTTTTCGCATGTGCATCGATTACCGAGCGCTCAACAGGGTAACAGTCAAGTCACGGTACCCCATCCCCCGCGCCGACGAACTGATAGATCAGCTGCGAACAGCACGGGTTTTTTCGAAAATCGATTTACGGGGAGGTTACCATCAAATTCGGGTCGAACCATCGGACTGCGCCAAAACAGCTTTTAGAACTAGGTACGGGTCGTTCGAGTACACGGTGATGCCTTTCGGGCTGACCAACGCACCAGCGACATTTCAGATGACCATGAACGAGGCGTTTAGGCCGCTTTTAGATAAATGCGTGATAGTTTACCTCGACGACATCCTCGTCTACAGTCGCGACAAGCAGCAGCACTTAACGGATCTCGAAGCAGTATTTAAGATTTTAGAGGAGCATCGGTTACTGACCAAGGGTTCTAAGTGTGAGTTAGTTCGGGACAGGCTAGAATTCTTGGGGCACGTTATTTTAGAGGCTGGGGTTGAGATTGACCCGAAGAAGCTGGACACAGTCAAAGCCTGGCACCCCCCGACCAACATCACGGAGCTGCAGAGTTTTTTGGGGTTTGTTAATTACGTCCGTCGGTTCGTCCCCGACATGGCTCGCTTAACAGCCCCACTGACGGATCTGCTGCGGAAGGGGGTCGCTTTTACGTGGGGGGAGAAAGAGCATGCTGCCTTCTCTGCCCTGAAAAATGTTCTCTGTTCACCACCCGTCCTGCGCATCGCCGATCCCCACCGCCCGTTCGAAGTAGTTACCGACGCAAGTGACATCGCCATCGGAGCCGTACTGCTACAGGATTTCGGCAACGGCCTACAGCCCATCGCATACGAGTCACGAAAATTGCACCCGCCCGAAAAAAACTACCCGATACACGACCGCGAAATGCTCGCGATCGTGCATGCGTTCAAAGTGTGGCGCTGTTACTTGACCGGCGCAGACGTGACAGTACGAACAGATCACCGATCACTACAGTACCTCCGCGCACAGCCCCACCTCAACCCACGACAGATTCGCTGGCTCGATTTCCTCGAGTCGAATTTCCACTACACGGTCACTTACAAAAAAGGAGCATCCAACATCGCTGACGCACTGACCCGCCCCACTGCCCAAATCCACGCGATACTACTCGCCCAGACCAGCCCGCTACTGACAGGACTATTTACCCACGGATATCAAACGGACCCATTCTTCACAGGAGGAAATTCGCAGCAGTTCGCAGCAGCCAAGGGAGTCTATTACGTAAAAGCCGGGACCGACCGCATCTGGGTACCAGGGTACACCCTGCTACGGGAGTTACTATTACAGGAGGCACATGACGGAGTTACCTCGGGACATTTCGGGGTAGAGAAAACACGGCAGCAGCTACAGCGGTATTATTACTGGCCTGAAATGTTGACCGACGTGCAGCGACACGTGGCATCGTGTCCCACTTGCCAGATCATGAAGTCATCACGGAAGCGGCCGGCGGGACAGTTGCAGCCGATACCACCCCCAGAGCGTGCTTGGCAGCAGGTGACGATGGACTTCGTCACGGGGTTACCGGCCGGAGCAAGTGGGAATGACGCGATCCTGGTCGTCGTCGATCGACTGACGAAAATGGCACATTTCGCAGCCTGCAAGAAATCGATCACAGCCGAAGAAACAGCTCGCCTCTTCATCGCGACCGTCGTTCGACTGCACGGGATACCAGCATCGATCATCAGCGATCGAGACACGAAATTCACCAGCAACTTCTGGCGGAACCTGTGGCAGCAGTTCGGCACGCGACTACAGTTCAGTTCATCATACCACCCCGAAACCGACGGACAGACAGAACGGACAAATCAAACCATGGAACAGCTCATCCGGGCCACGTGCGACGACCCGAACACGTGGGAACAGCAACTGCCACTCATCGAGTTCGCATACAACAACTCACCATCCGCCACGACCCAACAGTCACCGTTTTACCTGAACTACGGGCAAGACCCAACAGTACCCATGACCCCGAATCCCGACAATCCCGTCCCACGTGCACAACAGTTCGCAGAAATATTGCAAGCAGCACGGACCCGAGCAGCAGAAGCCATAAAAAAATCAAATGTCATCGCTAAGCGCAACGCCGACCCACACCGCCGTCCCGTCACTTACCAGCCTGACGACCTCGTCTTACTCGACACTCAGAACCTCCGCCTACCCATCACCCCGAAACTCCGCCCCCGATATTGCGGGCCATTTCGCATCAGCCACATGATCACACCCGTCACCGCCCACCTCCTTCTCCCTGCTGACTGGTACGTCAGCCCGTCATTCCACGTCAGTCTGCTTCGCCCATACGTGCCATCCACCAGTCAACTGCCTCGCAACCGCCCCGCCAGCATGACCCGACCACCGACTGAGCCAATCATCATGCCTGAGAAAATCCTGAGCCATCGAGTACGTGACCCACGGGGAGCCCGCAGAATCGAATTCCTGATCCGCTGGAAGGACCGCACGCCCACGGAGGATAACTGGGTCCCCCTGGATAAAATTGAGACTCACCCTGTCCTCACCGAGTATCTGCGAAGCCGAAACTTCCGAGATGTACACGCGCTCTCGTAAGAGGGGCCTCCTTAGGGAGGGGGGTAGTGTAAGGAAAATTCCCTTTCCTTACTTCGCGTCCCTGCTCAGCGCGTACACCACTGTTCCCGCCAACAGCACCCAACAGTAATCCGTTACCACTCGCGACACTCGCCACGACACTGTTCCCGCCACTTGTTCACGACGCGACCCAACCTCACGGTTCAGTTGGTAACCCGCGCTCCGGACCTCCGCCTCGACAATTCCCAACCTCGGCGCCAGGCCCGTCGCGCACCCCAATTTCCACGCATTACCGTTACCACTATAGTCTCGCTATATATTCTTCGCTCATTCCTTCGCTCATTGTACTTTTGCTTCGATAGTGCAATTCTCGCTCGCTCGCTCGATTGCACTCGTAACACCGAGCCTCATTTCACAGTGACTGACAGTCACTGACTTATTTTCCCAGATTTTCCTAACTGTGCACAGTTTGCTTACCGAACCCAAAGTTGACCTCCCGAGCCAGGATGGTTACCAAAAAACGTCGCATCCCAAAAAGACAGAGTCGTAGAGCAGAACGCGTCTACTTGGCGAGAGTCCCAACCACCCTTTGCTGTAGAGAAAGGGAACTGCCTGTGCACAGTTTGCCTGAAAATGGTAATTCAGGAATGTCTTTGCGGCTAATACGCGGAACTCTAAGCTTTGCCAGATGCAATTTCCTACCTATGCCCCCGTTGCAACACTTGCATTGCCCTCATCCCAAGCGTGAAAGGCGCGAAGCGCATACTATTCCACGTCGCTAAAAACTGTCTCGAAAGGTGAACCCTGCTATCCCCTCACATCGTCCTCCCCCTAGACGCACCGTCACCCTCGCTTCCCCCATTTCCCCGTCGCCATTGCCCTCCCATCGCCCTTACCCCACTCCCCTCCCGTCGCTTCCTCGTCAACGTCGTCGTGCCCCATTCCGACGCTTCGTTCACCACTCCGCGACCACCCACTTTCTCCGTTGTCGTGTCCCCACCACTCCCCACTATCCTGACAGGGGCGCCCACGTTTCCTCACTCGGGAAGCCCGTGCACACGCCCACGTTCCTCCTCCCCGCGCGCGCTCCTCTCGCCTCCCCGCGCGGTCTCCTCTCGCCTCCCGCGCGGCATCCTCTCGCCGCCCCGCGCGCGCTCCTCTTGCCTCCCCGCGCGGCCTCCTCTCACCATCCCGCGCGTGCTCCTCTCGCCTCCCCTCGCGTGCTCCTCTCGCCTTTATAGCGCGCGCTTCTCTTGCCTCCCCGCGCGGCCTCCTCTCACCTCCCCGCGCGTCCTCCTCTCGCCGCCCCACGCGTGCTTCTCTCACCTCCCCGCGCGTGCTACTCTCGCCTCCCCGCGCGTGCTCCTTTCTCCTCACCCTGCGTGCTCCTCTCGCCTCCCCGCACGTGCTCCTCTTTCCTCACCTTGCGTGCTCCTCTCGCCTCCCCGCGCGTGCTCCTTTCTCCTCACCTTGCGTGCTCCTCTCGCCTCCCCGCGCGTGCTCCTCTCTCCTCACCTTGCGTGCTCCTCTCGCCTCCCCGCGCGTGCTCCTTTCTCCTCACCTTGCGTGCTCCTCTCGCCTCCCCGCGCGTGCTCCTCTCTCCTCACCTTGCGTGCTCCTCTCGCCTCCCCGCGCGTGCTCCTTTCTCCTCACCTTGCGTGCTCCTCTCGCCTCCCCGCGCGTGCTCCTCTCTCCTCACCTTGCGTGCTCCTCTCGCCTCCCCGCGCGTGCTCCTCTCTCCTCACCTTGCGTGCCCCTCTCGCCTCCCCGCGCGTGTTCCTTTCTCCTCACCTTGCGTGCTCCTCTCGCCTCCCCGCACGTGCTCCTCTCTCCTCACCTTGCGTGCTCCCTTCCTCTCATCCGCCCTTCCTCTCATCCGCCCTTCCTCTCATCCGCCCTTCCTCTCATCCTCCCTTCCTCTCATCCTCCCTTCATCTCATCATCCTTTCCTCTCATCCTCCTTTCCTCTTATCCTCCCTCCCTCTCATCCTCCCTTCCTCTCATCCGCCCTACCTCTCATCCACCCTTCCTCTCATCCGCCCTTCCTTTCATCCTCCCTTCCTCTCATCCTCCCTTCATCTCATCATCCCTTCCTCTCATCCTCCTTTCCTCTTATCCTCCCTCCCTCTCATCCGCCTTTCCTCTCATCCTTCCTCCCTCTCATCCACCCTTCCTCTCATCCTCCCTTCCACTCATCCTCCTTTCCTCTCATCCTCCCTTCCTCTCATCCGCCCTACCTCTCATCCACCCTTCCTCTCATCCGCCCTTCCTTTCATCCTCCCTTCCTCTCATCCTCCCTTCATCTCATCATCCCTTCCTCTCATCCTCCTTTCCTCTTATCCTCCCTCCCTCTCATCCACCTTTCCTCTCATCCTTCCTCCCTCTCATCCACCCTTCCTCTCATCCTCCCTTCCTCTCATCCTCCCTTCCTCTCATCCTCCCTTGTATTCAGGTGCATGTGAACCCTACCGTGCGAGAAGCCATGTTACCATCCATCGTTCTGGAACATGCTCGGTATATTGTTTTGATTGTTTTGATTCTTAGTAGTTCGTTGTTTTGATATTGAAGGGAACTACAGCAGCCATCTCTGTTCAAATTAGCAAATGTGTATGGTTCAAGCTTGCAAACAGAGAGTGTTTTGTAATACACAATGAAAATAGGAGGTGCAAAACTCGGAGTTGTCCATGCCTTTCATGTTTACATTGTTGAGGTCTCAGGCATGCCGGCGTAGAGTCTGTTCCATGCCTTGCAATGTCAGCAATATTGTTATTCGGTAGCGCATTCAATGGAAACGTTGAGAGTTCAAAATATGAGGGACCATGAGACGCCAGGGTTTGAAGACGGGCATGCACTGTAGATGTACGACAGCAACATTGAGAACGCGGGTGGATTGCGTCAGTATCTGCAATTGCTGGGACGTGAAAGGGTGAGGGAAGAAGGGGGTTGGGATGGTAGCAAGCAAGGAAAGAATGTCAAATGGCAAACAGAGAATGAAAATGTTGTGGAGGGGGAGGGGGGCTAAATGGGCACGGATTGATGAAATGAGGGAAGGGCGCCTGCCTGCCGGTAGAGGTTCTGAGAGGGAGGGGGGAGGGAGGAGAAAGAGAGGAAGCATGGTGTTTGAGATGAGACGTCTCAAAGGATGAGAGGAAGGGAGGATGAGAGGAAGGGAGGATGAGAGGAAGGGAGTATGTGAGGAAGGGAAGACGAGAGGAAGGGCGGATGAGAGGTAGGGACGATGAGAGGCGGGGCGGATGAGAGAAAGGGAGGACGAGAGGAAGGGTGGACGAGAGGAAGGGAGGATGAGATGAAGGGAGGATGAGAGGGAGAGAAGTGTCAAAGATAGTAGGAGTACGGCCTAGGCTTAGTAGCCTAGGCCACAGTAGGACTAGAACGAGGAGGCGCCAAGTACGAGCTAGGATTGTGTGCAGGAAGAGAATTGAGAAGGGAATGATTGAACTAGCAAGCAGCAGGATACAAATAGCAAACCCTAAGGGGCTGTACTCACTATTGTGTACCCCACTGCAGGCTACACAAACAATATATTCTGACACACCCCCATAGCCAAAGTGGGGTGTAATCAGCACAATGAGCAGTCATAGCAATAGTTCATAATTATCAGCAAAGCTAGAGGCTATCACAGAGGGCAAGTGAGGAGGAGGAGGGACTGTGAGAGGAGAGAAGATGGGAGGCGACGACTGAAGCTGCAGACACACGGGCAACAGAAGCGGCTGACACAGTGGCGGCTGACACAGTGGCTACCGAGGCAAGGGCCCCGGACTACTGGAGTAACTGGCTCTGCGGCTACGACGAGCGGCAGAAGCAACGGACCCACGGGCGACTGGTGCAGCAGGCTCTCAGTGGCTACCGAGGCAAGGGCCCCGGAATACAGGAGTAACAGGCTCTGCGGCTGCGACGAGCGGCAGGAGCAACGGACCCACGGGCAACAGGTGCAGCAGGCTCTCTGAGCTACCGGCGACAAGGGCCCCGGAATACAGGCGCTGCGGACGACACGACGGCTGCCTCCACTCAACCTCCCCCAACTGTCCCACACCCCCCTACACACACCCCCAGTTTCACCCCTAGCTCCACTCCCACATCACCCCCCTAGTGCCCCTCCCCACGGCTCCCACACCTCCACCCCCCTCAGCGGCAGCTGCAGCAGTGGGAGACGAAAAAGGAGGAGGGGAGAACCCACACCTCTCACCCCCATGCTCGCCACCCCACACCCCAACCACCGCGGAACGCACGGTGGAATGGGAGCAATGGGCAGCAAGGGGGGGGGGGGGACGGGACGGGCTTCTGCAGGGACGGGCCGCGGGCTGCTGCAGGGGCGGCTCACGCGGATCCTGGGGCGGTTGCTGCAGGCACGGGCTGCTCCAGGGGCGGCTGCTGCAGGTGCGGGCTGCTCCAGGAGCGGCTGCTGCAGGTGCGGGCTGCTCCAGGGGCGGCTGCTGCAGGCACGGGCTGCTCCAGGGGCGGCTGCTGCAAGTGCGGGCTGCTCCAGGGGCGGCTCCAGGGGCTGCTGCTGCAGTGGCGGGCGGCTCCAGGGGCGGCAGTTGAAAGGCAGGAGGAGGGGAGGGGGGGGGGAAACGCACGGCCCCCAGGGCGCCCCGAGGGGCGACGAGAAGGGAGCCGCGCGGCCCCCCCCTGGGGCGCCGCGACGGGCACCAGGGAGGGCGCCGCGACGGGCCCCCAGAGCCGCCTCGACGGGCGACGGGGAGGGCGCCGCGCGGGCCCCCCGAAGTCGCCTCGACGGGCGACGGGGAGGGCGCCGCGCGGGCCCCCCGAAGTCGCCTCGACGGGCGACGGGGAGGGCCGCGCACGGCCCCCGAAGTCGCCTCGACGGGCGACGGGAGGGGACCGCGCGCGGCCCCCGTGGTCGCCACGACGGGCGACTGGTGGGGAGGCCGCGCGGGCCCCCAAGGTCGCCTCGACGGGCGACGGGAGGTGAGGCCGCGCGGGTCCCCGAGGTCGCCTCGACGGGCGACTGGAGGGGAGGCCGCGCGGGTCCCCGAGAGCGCCTCGACGGGCGCTTCGACGGGAGGGGACCGCGGAGGCCCCCCCAAGGGCACCACGACGGGCGCCACGGAAGGGAAAACCGCCAGGCGCCCCGAGCGCGCGGCGGGCAGAAATTAGGGTTTCGCCGCCGCGCACCACGGGGCGCGCGGCGGACAGTACGGCAGCGGAAGCGGGTGGTGGGCCCATACACAGGAAGGCGGCAGACATGCCGCCCTCTGATACCATGTCAAAGATAGTAGGAGTACGGCCTAGGCTTAGTAGCCTAGGCCACAGTAGGACTAGAACGAGGAGGCGCCAAGTACGAGCTAGGATTGTGTGCAGGAAGAGAATTGAGAAGGGAATGATTGAACTAGCAAGCAGCAGGATACAAATAGCAAACCCTAAGGGGCTGTACTCACTATTGAGTACCCCACTGCAGGCTACACAAACAACATATTCTGACAAGAAGAATAGAGGAAGGGAGGAAGAGAGGAAAGGAGGATGAAAGGAAGGGCGGACAAGAGGAAAGGAGGATATGAGAATAGGAGGATGAGAGGAACGGAGGATGAGAGGAAGGGCGGATGAATGGGAGAGAGGATGAGAGAAAGAGAGGTTGAGAGGAAGGGAGGATGAGAGGAAGGGAGGATGTGAGGAAGGAAGGATGTGAGGAAGGGAGTACGTGAGAAAGGGAGGACGAGAGGAAGGGAGGATGAGAGGAAGGGAAATGAGGGCGTAGGGAAGGGAAATGAGGGCGTCGGGAATGGAAATGAGGGCGACGGGAAGGGGAATGTGGGTTTCGGGAAGGGAAACGAGGGCGACGGGACGGGAAATGAGGGCGACGGGACGGGAAATGAGGGCGACGGGAAGGGAACTGTGGGCGACGGGAAGGGAAATGAGGGCGACGGGAAGCTGAAATGAGGGCGACGGAAAGCTGAAATGAGGGCGACGGGAATCTGAAATGAGGGCGACGGGAATCTGAAATGAGGGCGACGGGAATCTGAAATGAGGGCGACGGGAAGCTGAAATGAGGGCGACGGGAAGCTGAAATGAGGGCGACGGGAAGCTGAAATGAGGGCGACGGGAAGCTGAAATGAGGGCGACGGGAAGCTGAAATGAGGGCGACGGGAATCTGAAATGAGGGCGACGGGAATCTGAAATGAGGGCGACGGGAAGCTGAAATTAGGGCGACGGGATGCTGAAATTAGGGCGACGGGAAGCTTCTCACCATGCGATATGTGAAAGGCGGGCGCGAGAAAACGGAGGGGAGGTGATGGTGAGGGCAGGGCGGGAGGCCAGATGCTGAGAGCGCCTCTAGCGCGTGGGAGTCTAATCGGCACCGACGGGCGGCGTAAGAAAGCTACCCATTTCAGACGATGGATACTTCCGCCCTGTGACCTATGGGAAGCGCGCGTTGTCGAGTGCCCGTGTATTAGCCTATACTTTTAGATTACAGAATAAAACGCGAGTTCCGCCCTCGATGAGTCTCGCTACCCCCCGTGCGCATTGGCTATATAACGTCAATGCTATCATCTCAGCTCACATCGCACTTCACCAACATTCGCTCCCTTTGGCTCTTCCGCGTTCCTCTAGAATCTAAGGTCGCGCCCTGCTGAAGGGTGAGAAACTGAACGAGAATGGATTGACTAAGGGAGAGTTGGGTACAAATGTAAACCCTAGAAAACTGTACCCCATATGTGCTACCCCACTATAGCCTACAGTAGCTATGTCATATAAATCTGACACACCCCCATAGGCAAAGTGGGGAAGAGCAAGGGGTCACAAGACCAGTCAAGCAAAGCAAAGCACGCTCAGGGTGGATCACAAAGTCACCACACATTCCGAGCACAAGTTCAAGGCCACAAGGCCAGTTCACATGCAGGATTACATATATATATAAGGCTAGACAAGCAAGAGCAGGTGTATATATATATGCAACAGTACAAACAAGGTCAAGGGGTGAGCAAGTGAGGCAAGGTAGGCACAAGACCCAGCTGAGTACAGAAGCGCTGATGATCACAAGGCGCAAGTGCCTTGGTGAAGATATCAGCAGTGTTGGCCTGAGAGGCCACGTACGCAAGTCGCAGCTGACCACACTGCTGTAGCTCACGAGCAAGGAAGTAGCGGAGAGCAATGTGCTTCGTTCTGTGCTCCAGTCTCTGCTCTCGACACAAGGCCGGCATGGCCTTGTTGTCTACGTACAGCACTGGAGGAGAACGAGGCGGCTCTCCGAGGTCAGTCAGCAGGTAGGTGAGCCAGCGAAGCTCCTGTGCAGCCATGGCCCCGGCGTAGATCTCATCCTCACAACTGGAGCCGAGAACAGAAGACGAGCGGGTAGCCCGCCACGAAACAGAGCCGGAACCAAGGCTGAAGGTGTAACCCTGTGACGACCGCTGTGTAGCCTGGTCGTCAGCCCAAGAAGCGTCTGCGTGCCCAGTGAGGACCACTGGACTCTGCCCTCCAAGCACAAGCCCCATGCCCGACGTACTGCACAAGTAACGCAACACCCTCTTCGCTGCAGCCATGTGCTCCGGTCTGTGTCTCCCAGGAGCAACATAGCGTGCGAGAATGCTAAGAGGGTATGCGAGGTCAGGTCGTGTGCAGGTCATCAGGTACATGAGGCAGCCAACAAGCTCTGGGTACGGGCCACTCGACTCTATGGACTCATCCGAAGGCAGAGCTGAGAGCGAGTGGCGAGTAGGCAGAGGAGTGGCCTAAGGCGAGGAGTACGTG